AGCATCAACCAATCAAATTGCTTATCTCTGTTTACCCTAAGCAGAAAATGCTCATCTTCGAACTCCATCAAGGCATTGACCTAATAAACATGATTTTTTTGTACAATCAAGGGCCATAATTCAGGAAGTTACGATTCCATATGCGCGAATTTTTAAAGGAAATAAGATCTACACCAAGTTTGAATGTTCCAGCTCAATTAGAAGGAAAGTTATTGTGTTTCAAAGTCTCGGCCAATCAAAATGCTCATTATCGAACTTAGTCAAGGTATTGATGTAATAAAATTATACACCAAATTTCATCACTCTCACTTAATTAGAACTAAAGTTATCATGTCCCAAAGCATCAACCAATCAAATTGCTTATCTCTGCTTACCTTAATCAGAAAATGCTCATCTTCGAACTCCATCATGGCATTGACCTAATAAACATGATTTTTTTGTACAATCAAGGGCCATAATTCAGGAAGTTACGATTCCATATGCGCGAATTTTTAAAGGAAATAAGATCGTTTGGTTATAAACATATATATTTCATCAAAATCGAATCAAAATTATGACCTCTAGCGGGTCCAGCAGATTTGGTCGATTTTCATGAAATTCGAATTCAAGTCTCATTACAGTGTAACAGTGATATTTTCAAACATTTTTTTAACTTAGATAATAATTGTGACTTCAAGAGGGACGACGAGCTAAAAACATACAATCAGGGGGCCATAATCCATGAAGTTATGGTCCGATCTATGCCAATATCAAAAGGAACCGAGATCTTTGGGAGATAGACCTATATTTGAAGTTTCCTCAAATCGAATAAAAATTGTGACCTGTAGAGTGTCCACAAACAAATTGTGGACGGACGGACAGGGGAGACGACAATATACATCCACAAGAAAATGTGGGCGTATAAAAACAACCCAGAACAAAGATGAAACCCATGGTGAAGGGTTATTTCTAAAACAGAGAGAGAGAGAGAAATGGGGTTTAACGTCCACTCGACACAAACTAGGTCATATGGTTTAATTTTATTTCAATCACTCGCTTGCGCATAGGGGTCTTTAGCAGTGGGAGGAAACCAGGGGACCCGGAGAAAACCCCCGAGGTTGGACAGGCGATCCTACTCCTTGTCACATACAATCGGGGATTCGAAACCACACCAGTTGACTCAATGACAGGCCTTATGATACAGCACGCATGTGCTAACCATTCGGCCATCCAACCCCCCTATTTCTAAAACAGAATAGCAGATTAATCGGTAACTAATTAAAGACACACCTTTTTAGAGCATTTTCTACCAAATGAAAACAATGTCAGTGATCAAGAAAAGATATTACCAAAATACAAAATTTCAAGAAAATGATCAGAAAACACATTTCAAATTTCTGCTTCTTTCAGTCTGATATCCATTCATTTTGGGAAGTTTGCTCTTAGGATGGTTTTCTATTAGTAAAAAGTTTGCTTTTAAGCAAAAATTCCAAGCGAAACTACATCAAACCAACTTAATGACAAAAAATTTGATTTGCAGGAATGAATTTGCTTAGTGGACAATACATCAATGGGGTACAGGAACACGATTTTGATATATTAATATCAATGTGAGCATCTTTTCTCAGGTCCTTTTTAATATCAAATTTACCAGTATTTTAATCTCCTCAGAAAGTAACCTATCAGAGAATATTTACTAGTCCATGTATCCTAACCACTCCTTTGTTTTTTTAATTTTCTAAACAGATGTGATTAGAATTATTTAGTCTTCCTTTACTGATCTCATTAAACTAGAGGTGAGGCATTTTATATACAGTATCTAATTTATCTATCATTTTAATTTCAACTCATATAAACACGTGTCATAATAAAATCTTATAACTTAAACACATTTAAGGCAAGCCAATTTATTAATCTTTAAAAATTTATAATATATTTGCAGTGTAACATTGTGTTTTTGCATTTTTCTTGTACAGCAATGTGACTGGAAAAAGGCAAGCCATCCGTGTACACATTTGAATAAGAGTAGGCAGAAATTTTGCAGATCAGACAAAATGATCCTTTTGGGTATTGTACACATTAAGTAAAAATAAATAAATTTATGCTGGTCTCAAAATTAATTTCTAGATAAAGCTGATGACACTACTGACAAAAAATACACTATAATTCCCCCCACTTTTCAAGATAAACCTAATGATAATGTCCTGATAAAAACTTAACTCACAGATAATTTCACAGAATTATTCACCCACGTTTCATGAATTCTGCTGCATTTAGGATTAAGACTGTCAAGGACATATCTTCACGGCTTACGATTTCGGTCGCCAAAGTCGCAATTTGCGATAAAAATATGAAAGTGGGGATTAAAATTTGATTTGGACGATAATTTTGGTGATAACGTTTTGGGGTACTGCCGATTCCTTTTGAGAACTGGCGGGAAAAAATCTTAAAATTCTAATCGTATATATCCTAGATTGACCATTATATTGAGTTTCAATCACAATCATGTGGCAGCATACTATAAATTAATCAACTCGCTGATAATCCGGATCATGTCAATGAGTAATACTAACCCATTGTCTCGGGTTAATGATTAGTTGATTGATAATTGTCAATGATGTAAATAAAGACTGTCTCAAGTCATTATTTACACCTTATGTTTAACCACGTGGTTATTATCTGATGTTTCATTTCATCTTAAAAAAAATAAATGGAAATAATCAATTCTTTTCGGAGAGAATTAAATATTTTGATAGTTGAATTACGTAATAACGAGTCAAATAGTAACGATTCTCAAGGGTGAGAAAATGATCCGCCATTTCTTTCATTACGGCCGCCAAAATGCTCTAAAGTGAACCACAATTCTGATTGTAAGCATCTGTTACAAAATAATACTATCAAGGATTCCGATTCCGATACTGTTACAGTACCTGAAGATATCAATAGGCCTATTGTATTCGCAAAACATAAATTTATAGAAAATTGGCAATCCTTGGATGAGATTTGACGTGTAAATACTGAAAATATATTGTGCCATGAGTTGTGCGAAAAGACTTAAGTCACCAAAAATAAAATCTGATCTTAGTAAATCATCTCAAAACTAGGCTAATGTATTATGTAAAGACAGATTTTGTAAGTTGCTGTATATCGTATACTGGTAATTGTTTTGTAAAAAGGCCTTTCTAAGAAACAAAATTATTTTGGCAAATAAAATATTCCAGTTGGCGGAAAATAATATGAACATTTTTTTATATACAAATTATTATCCATTTTGGCAGAAAAAAATTGAAAGTCAATGTGAGCCCTGCATATCTTTATTTAATGTACCAACATGATGTGGATTCTTTTGATCCTCATCAGGAGTTTTCTTAAGACTGCTGGGCAAGTTGACATAGGTTTAATATAAATCCTTTTGTTGGTATAGAAAGCTTGTCATCATCTTAACACTAGAAGCCCAAATAAAATGAAGCATTAACATTATCCTGTGAAACAGGTAGTACAGTCAATAAAACAGGTATCTGGCACATTAATGGACAATTTTGTGGAAATTGCTTTCGAATTTTATTTCTCTAAAATAGCCCACTGCATTAATGGAGTATGAAAAATCCCCCATATATTATCTGTAATCCATACATTATCAAGATATCAAATAAGTTTAATGGATGCATATTATTACTAAATTGAATATTCATGAATAAATGTGAATATTGTAAATGACAAAAAGATCAATAAATGCTGTATAAGACTGACAGACATATTAAATATTTCATCATTATCAGTCTTTGATTGTCATTCGAGGTATTTTTAATCCCTTGCATACTATAAATATAGTTTTTTGGGAACTGAACCATTTTCAGAATATTATTCTGAAAATGGTTCAGTTCCGACATCATTTACAAACATAATATGATGAATAGAAAAGATTTCAACATTCGGTGTCCTCTGCAGACGATATACATATAAATGTGATATGGTGAAAACAAGCCAACACCACCTATAACCTTCACTAAAAGATTTTTGATGGGTCCATTTTTAAATTAATCCAACTGAATGCAAGCGGGAGATTATCTACCATTGATATTTAAACTTTGTTTTCTTAATTATTGCTAAATAATGCTATATTTTAGCATGGTTTAAGCCATGAAAAATTAGATATTATCCAAAAGATAACAAGTCATAATACATGTACATTACTGTAGATCTTTTATTTTGATAATGAGCATCTTTGTATCTCGTCAAGTACATATCTTCGTTAAATTTCTGAGTCAAGTTCATTGAATCTAGATAGAACATAATAATGATATGTGTCTATTTATGCTTGGGATGTGCTCTTGCATGAAGAGAACTTCATTATACACAGTTCATTATAATAATGACAACAGTAAATCTACTATACATACTCTATCTACATATGTTTGACTAAAAAAATTCTGCTGAATATAACATAGACTATATGTGTACATAATTCACACACACGATATAACAAACATCTTCAATTCTAATAAATAAAAGTTTTAAAAAATCCAATAGAATGCACAAAAATGTTCTTGAACAAAAGCTCTTGTATATACAGTCGACACATAATAAAATGGGGAAAACGGGCTTTGAACTGACTGTCTTCTCTTTGAGAAAGAATGAAAGGCTTACAAGTCAGCAAATATAGGACTGTATATCAAAAACACTTCAAGAAATGATTTGTTTAAATAACTAATTCACACCTTAGAAACATAAAGAAACTTGCACTAATATTAGATCCCCATCATGATAATATTTAATTTTATTGGATGATGGGACCAGTAGTAAAATAAGGAGTATATTAAGTTTCTCTATGTTTGTGAGTGTGTATCATATAACCACATTTCACTATGTAAAACGGACTAACTGGGGCAATATGTGAAATAAAATACAACCCATAAACCTTGTAAATTCAGTTTAGAAATATTAATCACAAACATGTTACATATAATAAAATTACATGGATGTCTATAGAAAAATGTGAATCAAGCATGAATGAAACTTACCGAAGAATTCTCCTTGCATTGTTCGTTATTCCAATAAATTACATGCTGATAGCACTAGACACTATTATATATACTGGTAATCCAAACACAGTTTTTTCATATAAATCTATCAATAAACTTAAATGTCAAGATGTTGGTTCTTTTCTGCAGGCAATCCAACTTGAAAACGTAATATTAAACTTGTGACTGGTATGCCACGTATTTAACCACAGAAACACTAACACATGCAAATGGTAGCAATTACTTAACAGTTGTTACAAAGCATACTCTATACTTCTCCTTTATACTTAATCACAAAAACAACATATGACTTGTAAAGAAACTTTCCCAAAGCCACAATAAAACATTACTTTATATTAAATCACCTCAGTGTATCCACCTTTTAACAATAATACTATAGTTAAGTCAGTTTTAAAGTTAGTTAAAGTACCAGTAGTTACAGTTAGTTGCTACAGTGCAACATGACATCTGCTCCTTCCCTTAAAGTTCTATCAAGTAACTGGACTATATGAATCTCCTGCCCTCCGATGGTTCATTGCCTGTCATGATAACACAGTGTTTCAGATGTGCAACTCACCCATTATATCCACCTTTTTCTCTGCCTCTATCCCTCCCCGCCAAATTACATAGAAAAAGCTGCTGCTTCAAATGCTTTCACATATCCTTGCAGCAACGATCATAAGGAAAGCAGTGAAGCATAACTTTCAATGGTCTGTGAGGTGGACCCATTCAACTTCATCTTTATACAGGAAATACCTGAACTAGACCTAAATTTATCATATGAATTGAATCCAATTACTAAAGCGAGCTGTTCAGGCATTGTTACTATTATCGCGTACCACGATTTATTTGTAAAAGCCTAACATCAGTCGTATTAAAGAAGCAAGGGCAATGCTTGTTTGCTAAAGGCAAAATCATGGGCTCCCTCTTTTCACCACTAAATATTATAAGCTGTATGAAAAGGACACCAATTCCTGCTTTACAAACTTATCACTAGTATAATAAGATAAAGGGTTAGTAATGCAGAGAATGACTTGTCATTATATAAAGATTAAGTATGTTACACTGCACTATCACAAAGAAGATCCAGCCTAAGGTGTTTGTTATAAACTTAAATTGAAAAAAAAAAAAAATTCTGTAAATAATGTCTTAGTTTTCATTCATAATCACATCTATATGGTAATGTGAAAAAGCTATTTCTTTCATTTCAAAATAAACTTTTGCCTTTTGAAATAGGAATTATTGAATTACTCTCTACATCTGCATTTCCATTTCAATAATTCATTTTTATCTAAGCATTAACTTAAATACATATAAAAATAAATACATCAAAAACCAGAAGCTGCCAGGCAGGATACGCCCACATTTTCAAAGAGATGGATAGAGAACAAGCTAAAAACACGCTATTTTTTGTACAATCAGGGACAATAATGCAGAAAGTTATGGCCTGAAATGTGCAAATACCAAATGGGACTGAGATCTTTGGGATATAAAGATATGTTTTAAGTTTCATCAAATCAGATAAAAATTGTGACCTCTAGAGGATCCACAACCTTCGTATTACACGCTTCTACACAATTTGCGTACAAAGAGCGGCCATTTTGTCTGGCAGGTTCATTTTGATTTTTCCAAAATTCAAATTCAACCTTTATTATGGTGGAAATGAGATGTATTTATTCGAACAATCAGGGGCCATAATCCAGAAAGTTAAGTTTGTGTATCCGCAATTATCAAAAGGAACCAAGATCTTAGTGTGTAATGGTGATATATTCAGGCGTTTTTTTTAAATCGGACAAATATTGCGACCTCTACTTAGACCACAAGCTAAAGATAGGTTGCCAGGCAACAAAACATATGCCCACAGCAGCTAAATCGTCCGAGCGGTTGTCAAGGGTTGTCGAATATTTATTCCTTTGTAGGTAATTGGGGGCCTTTACAAGACAGTTCCATACAGATCAGATTATACATTTTGTCGTTTGAGGGTTTACAAGGTTCTAAAAACTGAAACAAGGGTCTCAACTCTGGAAGTAATCTACAGAAATTGTTGAAATTTGACAGGCTTTTTCGTTTTACTAATTTAAATAATGCATATAAATTTCATACAGATCACATGATCACTTTTGTCATTCAAACGTTCACAATCGCAATAACTCTAGAAATTATTGATGGAAATTGCTGAAATTCAATAGACCTGTTTCACAAATTTAAATGATTCATATAAATTTATACATATCGGATGATAACTATCATCAATCGAGCTTTAACAAGGTTTAACAAAGTGAAACAAGGGCAATAACTCTAGAAGTATTTATTGTAAATTGCTGAAATTCAATAGGCTTTTTCATTTCACTAATTTAAATCATGCATATAAATTTCACAAAGATCGGGTGATAACTTTTTGCGTTAGAGCGTTCACAAGGATCAATAAAGTGAAACAAGGGCCATAACTCTAGACGTAATAAACGGAAATTGCTGAAATTCAATAGGCTTCTCCGTTTCACTAATCTAAATAATGCATATAAATTTCACAAAGATCGAATGATAAATTTTGGCGTTGGAGGCTGGAGCGTTCACAAGGTTCAATAAAGTGAAACAAATGCCATAACTAGACGTAATAAACGGAAATTGCTGAAATTCAATAGGATTCTTCGTCTCACTAATTTAAACAAGCCAACAGTGAGGCTGATGTCCCCCGCTGAAATCCCGAAATAAATAGATGACATATATTAATTAATTGCATGTTTATCTTTTTCAAAAGTATCCAGCAATCAAACTGATTATTAAGTATACATTAAGTTTCATCACTCTCTATCAGATAGAATCAAAATAAACAAGGCATTGACCTAATAAACACATACACCAAGTTTGAACATTCTAGCTCAATTAAAAGTTATCGTGTCCCAAAGCATCAACCAATCAAATTGCTTATCTCTGCTTACCCTAAGCGGAAAATGCTCATCTTCGAACTCCATCAAGGCATTGACCTAATCAACACATACACCAAGTTTGAACATTCTAGCCCAATTAGGAAGAGAGTTATCGTGTCCCAAAGCATCAACCAATCAAATTGCTTATCTCTGCTTACCCTAAGCGGAAAATGCTCATCTTCGAACTCCATCAAGGCATTGACCTAATAAACACATACACCAAGTTTGAACATTCTAGCTCAATTAGGAAGAGAGTTATTGTGTCCCAAAAAGTGTGACGGACAGACAGACGGACAGACAGACGGACGAACCCATTTTAATAGTCCCCTGCTTTCTTCGAAAGGCGGGGGACAATAATGCACATAATTGCCAGAAAGATCGAATGATAACTTTTGACGTAAGAGTGTTCACAAGGGCCATAACTCTAGACGTAATAAACGGAAATTGCTGAAATTCAATAGGATTTTTCGTTTCAGTAACCTAAATAATGCATATAAATTTCAGAAAGATTGGATGATAACTTTTGACCTTTAGAGCGTTCACAAGGATAAATAAAGTGAAACAAGGGCCATAACTCTAGACGTAATAAACGTGAATTGCTGAAATTCAATAGGCTTCTTCGTTTCAGCAATCTAAATAATGCATATAAATTTCAGAAAGATCAGATGATAACTTTTGATGTTAGAGCATTTACAAGTTCCATAATGCATATAAATTTCAGAAAGATCGGATGATAACTTTTGACGTGAGAACGTGAGAGCGTTCACAAGGTTCAATAAAGTGAAACAAGGGCCATAACTCTAAACGTAATAAACAGAAATTGCTGAAATTCAATAGGCTTCTTCGTTTCACTAATTTAAATATGCATGTAAATTTCAGAAAGATCGCATGATAACTTTTGGAGTTAGAGCGTTCACAAGCTTCAATAAAGTGAAACAAGGGCCATAACTCTAGACGTCATAAACAGAAATTGTTGAAATTCAATAGGCTTCTTCGTTTCACTAACTTAAATATTGCATATAAATTTCACAAAGATCGTAATGTTTGGCATTAGAGTGTTCACATGGTTCAACAAAGTGAAACAAGGGCCATAACTCTAGACGTAATAAACGGATATTATTGAAATTAAATAGGCTTCTTCATCTCACTAATGTAAACAACATATATCAATTTTAAAACAATTGGATGATAACTTTTGGCGTTAGAGCGTTCACAAGAAATTGTGGACGATGGACGGACGGGGCGTATAAAAACTGGATTTTTTGTTCAATCAAGGGCCAGGAAGTTACAATCCGATATGCTCGAATATCGAAAGGAACCAATATCTTTGGGTTATAAACATGTATTTCAAGTTTCATTGAAATCAGATCAAAATTGTGACCTCTAGAGGGTCCACAACCTTGATTTACCAGATGTTTACACTATTTGTGTATGAGGGGCGTCCATTTTGTCCGGCAGTTTTGACCCGATTTTCAGGAAATTCAAACTCAACAGACCCTACGGCGGCCTATCGTGTAACGGTAATATATTCAAACGGTTTTTTAAATTGGATAATAATTGTGACCTCTAGAGGGACCACAAGCTAAAAACGCAATTTTCCATACAATCAGGGGCTATAATTCAGGAAGTTACCATCCGATATGCGTGAATATTGAAAGAAGCAAGATCTTTGGGTGATAAACTTGCATTTCTAGTTTCATCAAAATCAGATCAAAATTGTGGCCTCTAGAAGGTCCACAGCTTTGATATACCAGATGTTTACACTATTTGCGTACGAGTGGCAGCCATTTTGTCCGGCAGTTTTGGTCCGATTTTTTAAATCGGATAATAATTGTGACCTCTAGAGAGACCGCAAGCAAAAAACGTGATTTTTCGTAATATCAGGGGCCATAATTCAGGAAGTTACAATTCAATATGTACAAAGATAGGTTGGCAGGCAACGAAATATACACCCACAGCAGCTAAGTTGTCTGGGCAGTCAACAAGAGTTATCACATATTTTTTCTTTTGTCGGTAATGAAACATTTATAATACACTAAAATCTGATTAAGAGTAACAACTCATTAAGTAAATATCAGAAATCATTAGAATTTGTTTGGCTTCTAGTTCTGCCCCCATGATCATGTTTAGTATACCAAAACATATCATAGATTTAGCTGTTCCAATTATCAAAGATAGGTTGCCAGGCAACGAAACATATGCCCACAGCAGCTAAGTCATCTGGGCAGGCAACAAGGGTTGTCGCATATTTTTTTCTTTTGTCAGTGAGGAGAGTGTTTACAACACATAAAGATAGGTTGCCAGGCAACGAAACATACGCCCACAGCAGCTAAATCGTCCGGGCAATCAACAAGAGTTGTCACATATTTTTACTTTTTTCGGTAATGAAACATTTATAATACATTAAAATCTGATTAAGAGTAACAACTCATTAAGTAATTATCAGAAAACCTTTAGAATTTGTTTGGTTTTTATAAAGTTTTGCCCCATGCTAACGTTTAGTATAGGAAACTTTTAATATCATGGATTTAGCTGTTCAAGTCATAAAAATTCATTGAAAATCATTATACTTGTTCGTCTCAAGACCTTAAACTCTGTTATTGAATCCGAAGTCAATTGGATGATAACTTTAGCTTCTAGAGGGTCACAAGATTTTTCAAAGTGATCAAGGGCCATAACTTTGGCAGTAATTATCAGAAATCGTTGAAAATCAATATGATTCTTCGTCTCATGAC